TTTTTTTACCTGAGAGATTATTTCTGATCTGATGTCTTCTATGGCCTGATGGAGTTGTTTCTTTACAGAAATTTTAGGTGTATGACTTCAGGCTCTTCTGTGTTGATGTCTTCTGGACTTGTTCTGGGTGTAGAGGTCTAAGATTGCATATTGCTTCTTCATTTTGTCATTTTTGGAGATCCAGAGGTTCTCTTCAGCTCAGCCTCACTCCTACGATTGTGTGGGAGTGGCGGGTTAGGGTCCAAAAATCCCCAGTGCTCCGTGTGGCTCCTGTGCTGGTGTGTGGTGGCAAGGTGGAGTCCCAGATGCTCATGAAACTTTCTTGCGTTCAGTTGGCTCCCAGGCCAATGGGGAGGGGCAGGCGAGTCTCACTGGATTTCCTGAAGCTGTCTGGGGTGCAGCCTGGCTTGTACAAGGGTGGGAAGGATGCAGATTGTGGTCACTGAGGCTTCAGATGTTGCCCAGGACCTAGCCCAGTTCCCACATGAGTAGGGATGATGGTGGAGTCCCTGATGCTACTGACTCTGTGCGCCTTTCAGCTGGGCTCCCACAGGGGCAAGGGTCATGCTCAGAGTGACCACAGAGGTCCCAGAAGTTGCTCAGGGCTCTGCCTGCTGCACACGCTGATGAAGTAGGCACAGTGGCAGCTCACCAGGGTTCCTGAAGATGTCTGGGGTTCAGCCCAGCACCTGCAGGCACACTAGGGGTGCAGGGAGTGGCCACCAAGGTCCCAGAGGGTGACCAGGGCTCTGCCTGCCTCACACACTGGTCTGGGAGGTGTGGGTGTGGCTCACCGGGGTTCCTGTAATGCCTGGGGTTCAGCCCAGCACCAACAGTCATACTAGGGGTGCCGAATATTTTTAACTGGTGGAGCCTTCAGTTTTTCCAATTCTGTGTGAAAATATGGAAAGATTCGCACTACAGTAAGCTCTGTGGATATGAGGTATGTGTTATGGTCTTTAGTTGACCCAGTTTTGTTGGGGGACAGGAAAAAACTCATTGTGGAGAGAAACCTATGAATGTATGCATTGTGACAATACAAATTCTTTGTTGCCTCTGCAGTTTCTTCACTCTTGTCTCTTTTGCGTCAGTCATTTACTAGGTCACAGGAATTTCAAAGTCATTTTGTAACATTTTTCTCCATGGGTTGTTTGAAAAGAATTTCTGGTAGGTAGCTAAATTCCATTTTTTTATAATTAAAAAAATGATAGTTTTCTCTTATTTTTAGGCCATTGGAAAAAAGTGAGTCTTGCTCATTGGGATTTTCCTTACCATTGTTATAAGATGGTTTCTGTATTATCTTCACACATTCTGTGTAGTC